GCTCCTTGATGAGTCATTGTACTGCTCTTTTTGTCAGGTTTTTAAGCCAAAGATTCTTTCGCAAGATTTCTGCCTAGCCATTAGTTCCACATCATCATACAAGTCTCAGACCAAGTAACATTTCCTCCAACAGGCCTCTCCTTTGGAGTCCTAAGGTAGAGTAGTTTTCTCTCGTGGTTTCACAGAATAAAGATAGCCCAGCAGGTAAAAGCATTGGCCACACAAATCTAAAGGCAGAACTTGAACCCCCAGACTCCCTGTGAAGGGGGAGCAGAGCGGACTCCACAGAGATGTCTTCTAACATCCACATGCATGCCATGGCATGAGGAAGCAAGAAAGCACACACACATATGTGCATGCACACACACATGTAAACATAGGGTCAGGCAAAGTGGCACATGTTTTAATTCCAGCACTTGGGAAGCAAAGGCAGGGAGATCTGTTTGTTCAAGGCCAGCCTGGTCTCCAAAGTGAGTTTCAGGCCAGACAAAGTCATCCAGTGAGATCTTATCTCATATGTTTCTTGTTTGGGGTGGATGGATAGATGTAGATGATGGGACTGGATTCTAGGGACATAGCTAGTGGACTGGAGCTAAGCAATAATACTTTCAAAGGTCTAGTGAGCGGGTGTCCATGTGATCGACAGACTTCAGAGAACAGTACTCGGTTTTAAGCTTTCCTTAACCTGTTTTAATTATGTGCTTTGTCTTTTAACTACAGGCCTCTGTAAAAGATTTAACAATGGGATGGTGGTAGCACACACTTTTAGTCTGAGAGCTCCCAGGCTGAGGCAGGCAGATCTCCGAGTTCAAGGGCAGCCTGGTCTACAGAGCAAGTACAACCTGAGGTACACAGGGAAACCCTGTTTTAAAAAAAAAGACAGACAGAAAGGAAAAGAAACAATAGGCCATGTATCTACTCTTAGAGCAATGGAGCCAGTTTCTGGCATCAGTAAGGAAGAGCTCTTATGTCAGTAAAAAAAATCCAGGGCAAATCACGTAAACTGTGGAAAATATGGGGCTAGTGTCATGGCTCATGGGTAAAGGTGCTTGTTGAGCAATGTGAGTTAGAATCCTGGAACTTCCTCTTACCCCAGGAATAACGATACACAAGTTGTGGAGAATTTAAGTTTTCTGAGAATTTCTCTTTTGGGGCGTGGGCATGCGGGTTTGAGACAGGGTCTCACTATGTACCTTTACCTGTCCTGGAACTCATTAAGTAGACCAGGCTAGCCTTGAGCTCAGAGATCTGCCTTCCTCTGCCTCTGCCTCTCAAGTGCTGGGATTAAAAGTGTGCTCCACCACCGTCAAGCTTTAAATCCTAAAACTTCTAAGAAGCTTTTTTTTTTTTTAAATTTGAAGTTTTGTGTGACTGTATCTGAGAGAAAATACGTGCACATGTGTGAGCATGTCCCCTTGGAGGTTGGAAGAGGTTGTTTGATGTCTTGGAGCTGTAGTTTCAGAAGTTTGTGAGACTCCCTTCATGGATGCTAAGATGCAAACACTGGGTGTTCTGAGTGAGCTGCAATGGCTCTCGCTGGCTGAGCCATCTCTCTAGCCCTGAAGCAGCTTTATTTTCTGCTATTCTGACCTGGATAGATATTTCCACACCAACCATCAGATAGTTGCATTGCTTTTCTGCTGGAGTTCAGTTTTTTTTTTTTTTAATTTTTTTTTAAATGATCATAAGGTCTCTTCTTAGAAGAATTCAGTGTTTCTGAGCTCAGGCAACTCCTATGTGTCTTCATTGCTAAAACATGGATTGTTTTGAACTTTACTCCGGTTCTAATAATCTGTTTATGCAAGGGCAGTTGGCTTGTATGTGTAATCAGGGCACTGAGGAGCAGTGGCAGGTTCAGAGCAGCTAGGGCAGTAAGTATATGGAGACTGTCCCAATTAAAATCCCCAAACTAACATCCCCTCCTAATCTGGGGTCTTGCTGTGTTTTTATTAGTTCTCCAATTCAAAGGGAAGACAGACTCCATGAAGGACCACGATACACAATGAGGATACGTCAGTTTTTCCAATGGTGTTGGCCTGACTACTGGATTTTTGTGTTGTTTCCTGTCAATATCTGGGTTCCTTATTGCTGAGTTATCCCTGTATATTAGGATACCCTCTTATGTGTAGGGCCTTTGGCAACTCGAGTACTAGGGATCTTCCTAAATTGCATACAAACCCCACTCACGATAGGTCTACTAATGCCCTTGGATGTAAAGATGATGTCAAAGCCTTTCACAGTTCTCAGTCTCCCTCTCATAATGTAGTAGGATTCTATTTCAAACTCTCCTGATGTAAGATTTGGCCATGTGATTTCACCTGTCAATAAAATGTGAATACACATTGCTTCTGACGGAAGATTTTTTTTTTAATTTTTTTAAACAGCCAGAGCAAGACTTTGAACATCTAGCAATTAAATTTTATGATACCTATTCTGGCAATCTTGAAAGTCCATGTCTTAGGGAAGCATCCAGCAAGCTTGGTACCTCAGGGAATGCAGTGAGTGGAATCCCTGAGAAGTACACTATGCAGAGTTCTGTAGATCTACAGGACACATTCCTTCTCCAAACACTGGAAGCCCTGGTAACTGACAGGTAGATCCTTCCTTGAGGATTTTTCTTGACTAAGGTCATCTTCCATCCCTCCCTGCAGTCTCTCTACAACAACTGGTTGATAGAGACCTGGTGTCCTGCCACATTTTGGGACAACACTGAAAAGCCACCCCAATTCCAGAGTCCCTGAAGATTGGTGGAAACTTCATTTGCAACTATGCTACAACTCAGTCCAGCCGTAATCTCTAGCTCTGCCTGCCTTGGTTCCACAGAGATATTCTTAAATTGCACACAAATCCCACTCGTGATAGGTCCACTAATGCGTCTACCAAACACAAACCAGGGTAAATACATTTGTCTCAGTAAGCTAACAAGATCTGTGGGATGTTACTAAAACTTAGCCCATCCCGATCACTGGATAGGATCTTACTATCAGTTCTGTTTTCACTCGTTAGACTTGTACTGCCTGTCTTCTCTAGTAGATTAAGTCATTGCTAACTTTTGTTCCTTCTCACTGTGAATCATCACATCTCAACTCAGTGGCTGTAAGGGCAACAGAAAAGGAATGAGCTGCATATCAAGGTCTACTGATTAATTATTCCTGCTAAGTTAGTGGCCTGAACTTTTCCTACATGAATTTCCTAAGACTTCTTCCTACATAATTTATTACACATACATAACATGTACAAGGGCACTTAATGTTTCTTAGGAAAATTTTATGCAAATAATAATTGAATAATAAAGTACTTGGCCGCAATTCGAGGGAGAAAAATTGTATTTTACCAGTTAATAAATTTCCTGCACCTTCAACATCTGTCATTTCTCTGAGAACTAGATTTCATGTTTTGAAAGCTAAATGTTAAAACAATGCCAGTTCCTTATTTTAGGCCTTTAAGTCAAAACAAAATATGGCAGTAAAGCTAAAGAGCAATGCATATGCTCCTTCTTTTTCAAAAGGGATTTTATTTCATAGAAAAAAATTCTCTCTGCCTGAAGGATAAACAATATAAAAATATTTCAGCTAAAAAAAACCCAAAGAGCCCTGGGCAGGTATTACCACAAGTCTTAATTATAGCAGATATTTACTATGATAACAGAAACCAGTTTAAGGAATGTGATTTATTAATATCACGTTCAGATAAAGAGATAAAAGACTTGAATAAGCAAGCAAACTTGAGGAGTGTATTTGTGAATGTATCCTGGAACAGCCTTTAGCCACAATGAAAGACCGGCAAAACCAGCCTTCAGAACAGCCTTTCTGTCTACCGGGAGAAGGGAGGGCTAGACTTCATCTCTTAAGATCGCCCTCCCACGCAATTTTTTTCCACCTCGCAGTTAAAGAATTAAACCCAGACTTCCGATCATGGCGCCAAGCACATCACCTTCTCCTCTCTCTCCCCCTAGCAAAATCCCACCCAAGTCGGCTGACCCCCCGCAGGGGATAGTCATAGTCCCCTCCCCTATCCTGGTTGCCTGAATCTAACCAAATTGTGATTAAAAAAGAAATAAAGAAAATGCTTAAAGCGGTCCTGGGAAACTGCGGTACGGGCGAGACCTTCTGCACGGGTTGAGTGAGGAGACAGGCTCCCACTCCATACCTGGAGGCAGAAGTCTGCGCCGGCCGCAGCTCTCCTGCAAAGCCCCTCCAGCCTTTGTGCACACAACCCTCCCTGGGAGAGGCCGCGGGGACGGCTGCTGGAGGAAAAGGCCGACCCGGGTGGCCTAGCGCGCGCACGGGGCAGCGTCGCGGTCCTCACCGCGGAGGCCGAGGCTTTTGTTTGCACCGCGAGGGGAGGGGAAGGCGACGCGGCCCAGGGGTCTCGGCTCCCGCAGCAAACAACGGCGGCGGGACGTCCTCCAGGCTTTCCGCCCAGACCCCAGAGTAGCATGGCCTCTCTCCTCTCTCTCACACACACACACATACGCTCGCACAGATCGCCGCGCCATCCACGTGCGGGAGGGACGCGGGTGTGAAGAGGAGAAGGGGAGGAAAACGAGGCTGTCTGCCCCACGCCGGCCCCACCCTGCCCAGGGTCCGCCCGG